TTTTTTTTCCAGGGGAGTCCAGCAGTGCCCTGGAGGAAGCAGGCAGCCTTGCATTTAGGAGCACGGGGGCAGCCACAAGCCTTACTCCTTTGCACAGGGGTGCGGTGAGCAAGGCGACCCCACAGCAGGTCCTGCGCTGTGCCACCACGCAGAAGAGCCCTCCCTTCCCAAGGAAAGCACAGCCGTGCTCAAGGTGCTCCTCCCTGCTCTCCTACCCACCGGCCAGTCAGCAAAGAAGTGCCGGGATACAAATGCCCCTGCGGGCCATGCAGCTCCGAGGACAGAGGAAAAGCAGCACTCCTGGGCAGACACAGAGCCACTGCAGCTTCTTTCACAGGGCCAGTAACTCCTGCAGCAGCCCTGCATGCAGAGGGTGCCCAAAGGGATTTTTAAAATGATTTTTTTGAAAAAAAATTCCTCATTCCTCCATGTATCCTAGCAACACCTCTCCGAGGTTAGAGATGCAAAGCCTTGCCCACCTGTTGCATAGGAAGCCTGAGGCAAGTTGCAGAGTGCTTTCCTCCCAGCTCGCTCCACTACTAGGAAGCGGCAGCGATTAAGGAATACGCCACAGTCAGCACAACCCCAGTCTCTCCTCTGCTCAGGCCAGGTGACACACACAGGTGTTCACATCTCCAAACACCGTCCACTCAACATTGGCTCGTGCAGTGTGCGTGTGGGGTGGTCTGAGAAAAGGTCTTGCTGGCAGAGGCTGAGGGCTTCGTGATTAAGGCAATAAAAAGGCCTTAATCCCTGCCACAGAAATGCTTTAGTGCATGCAGTCACACAGTGCTGAAGACGCTCAGGCTCTGAGTGGTTATCTAAATAAGATTTCTAAAAACACTATAGGTCCAAAATGTGCACAGCGTACAAAACAAAGAGAAAATTCAACTTGTCCCATGCCTCTCCCTCCAACTCGATCAAGCTGCAATATCATTTTACCAAATGAGCAGTCCTTGTTAAAAGAACCCAATCCTCCCCCCACCAAAACTCCCCAAAAACTCACTGAAAAAAAAAACCCCATCCTTTTTCATAAGAGCTGCAATTACTTTTGTCCCTCCTCTAAAACACCCCTTAGCATTTTCTATTTCTTGTGGTGGGGGAAAAAATATAGAAATCATCATAGAAGTTAAAAAAAATATTTTATACAACAACTAAAAATAAATTTAATAAAAACCTAAAAACCCAGAATGTATTAAAAAATCTGAAGTATGAATTTAAAATGGATCACTTTCTACACCCAGTGAAGATTGCCCTTTCCTTAAGATTCTTCTGCCCATCAAATAAGATCCTCACAGCTGCAATAGTCGTTTGTCATCTGAATCTCAGTTACCTTCATTTATCTGCATTCTTGCAAAACAAGTAGATAAGACACTACATATTTTGCTGCTTTGTTGTGTTATTGAACTAATCACTGTTAAGTCCATTTTATTTTAATATATTAAAGGAATTCAGTGGTTGCACAGGCACATGCAGGGGAGCTGCTGTCCCCAAGGCCAACAGGGGAGATGCGGTTATCACTGCTCAGTCAAAGATCCATCATTTGCTGCAGGATCTCTCTTATTCATCTTCTCTCAGAGGAAAATATGGGATACTTCATAAGTGGGTTTGGCACTCATGAGTTATCCCTCTTTCCCCACTCATGAAGATAAATGCTGTAATGAAACGCAGCCATCAGGTATTCTCTATATTTGGAGTACTCAAAGTGTGAACAATGATTATGCCCTTTCATCGGGTAAGTTAAGGTTGACTGCCCAGCTACCCGGGGAAGACAGGAATGATTTGCACTAGCTCACAGGCAACGAATGGAAGGCGGTGGCAGATCTTCTCCCTCGGCATCCGTTATTCTGCTCATCTCAGGCTGAATCATCCGTTCTGTATGTCAAACCTTCCTTTTTACTTCAAGGCTACCTGGCAGCTGAATCTGCAAGCTGAGTCCAGCTGAGATGGCAGCAGCAGCCACTTCATCAGTTCAACGTCTGTTTGTTTTTGACACTTTCGTGGAAGCGATGACTAAGATTTTATGACAAGCGAGAAAAGGAATTTTGTAAGTTAGGAGTTTTTTTCAAATGTCACATGAATTTTAGGACATGGTCCTAGTCTGCGCCACACAAACAAACCTCCCTTCGGGTTGACAGACATCACCAGTGAGAACTGGATCATGTTTTCTGTGTGAGATAAAACTTACTGCCTTCATAACTGTCCTTTTTTGCTTTTTTTTCTTATAGTGTAAGGGAGGAAATTCAAGCATTTAAAGTTATATTTAAACATGAAAACCTGACAGACATATCTGGCAATATAAACACAGCTGTTAACAACACACTGAAAATAATGAAATGGTACTGCACGGGAGGCTGAAACGTTATCTCTGGTTAAGTCTGAGGATAATCTGCAGGTGCAAGCAGGTTCCTCACTTATTTAACACAGGGAGCAGTCTTTGTATTTGTATGTTGTTCAGTACTGGGCAGAAATACCCTCAGGATTCCATCATCCAGACACTGCACAAATAAGAACAGAACTTCCCAAGTTTCTGCAAACACGGTATAAACCCTGGAAAGGCAGTTCTTCACAGGCAAGGCAGGAGTTATGTTTCTATTTTACTCAAGTGTAAGAGATGCAGCATTCAAAGTCAATCTCTTGAAATTTGCAGTGGACTAGAAGCTTGAGGGATTCAAGAGCTCCCAGGGGCTGCTTCGTCTTGAATTTAATAACAACTCGCTGGTCGTCTCTGACGTAAGCACGGAGCGGTTCGTAGACACAGGATAGGTTCAGACACAGCTGATCTATCGCAGCCTTGCAACATCACCAACTCCCACATCCACCAGTTATTTTTATGCAGCTACTCACACTAAGGATATGTTAGGAAAATAAATTAAGTATTAATATGCTGCACGGGGAGCATTTGCAACAAGAAGCAGGTTGTGGGTTAAAATAGCCAGGTGCATCTTAACTAGCACACAAAATGGTCAAAGATCAGCTGCTGAAGAGACTCCTGAGGCCCTGGCACATGCTATCTAGAAAATATTAAGAGTATTTTGAACCATGCACTGGCTCATATTCAGCACCCAGAAGCTATTTTAAGTGCCCAGTGGAGACAAGCTGGTGTTATTAGGGTACTTTTCTTCCAACAGTCAACAATACATTTTGAGCCAAATAATCCCATTAGAGGCCTCTGTAAACACCTAAATCAGATGAAGTGGCCGTGATGATCTCATATTAGCAAAGATTCACAGGCTCAGTTAAGGCAGGGGTTTTATGACACTTGAAGACAAAGTCAAGCTATTTGCTGGGCAGTTTTGGTGCTGCACCTATCACGTAAAAGCGGCTTCCAAAGAGAACCTATGGAGTCAGATAAACTGCCTATTGGTTCAGGGCAGCTGGTTCAAGAAGAAAATCTTAAGCCAGAGCCTATAAAATAAGTTTTTTTAACCTTACTGAGCAGTAAAGCCATGGCTAAACAAGCACTGAAACCAAACCCTCGCTTCATGGCAGAACAGCAGCTTCAGACCCAAGGAAAGAGTTCCAGTCCTTCTCTGGCCTTGCCCTCACGTCACCTCTTTGCCTTGATTTCACCCAGCCTAATGTCTTCTGTGAAGCATTTTGAGACCCACAGACAAGAAAAAATACATGAAGAAACAGATAATACTATTATTACCCGATGTGACAGCTCTGTATTATGTGAGGGCACAGGCAGCCATAATGAACACCCTGAATCAGAGAAGTGGTAAGAAATATAGGAATAGAAGAGGAGGAAATTGGATTATGACAGTGATAAAGAGTATGGTAGGAGATGGCAAGGATTTAGAGACCTTGGGAAGCACGCTAATATCAGTGTCATGATCTCAGTAAAGAAAATTGTTGAATATATGACCAGTAGAAAAAGCCTGATCAGAAAGAGACAGTCAAAACTGTTTTATTTTCTCAAATATTTCAAACCTCCTTCTCTCCCCTGTTTCTGAAAGCTCAGCTGTACAGCCTTGGTGAAGCTTGAACAACAAGGAACTGTAAGCACTCGTGTGGCACTCTGAATACTGTGACATGAAAAAAGCCGCGTGAAGGGTGCCTAAATATAGTTCACAGGCTTCCCCCTCTCTGTACTCAGGTTCAAACTCCACAACCAGCTCAGGTCAGTGACTTTCAGTCAGCATTTAGCCACTAGCAGCAAGAAGGTCATTTCACAATCACTGAAGCTTAAGGTAGAAACTATTATAGCTGATGAAGAACCAGTTATAAATAAAACGCTTCCAGTGAAATCCTAAAAAGAGTTGCCCACTGTCTGCACTTTATTAAGTTACAGTCCAGTGATATTTAGCCAAATTTTAATCTCTCAAACCATTGCCTGTAGGTCCTCAGATGGGAGAAATGAAATGTTGATCTATCTCACATCACAACCCAGCCCTGAATTTACAAATGAACATAAAACGATGGACTTGGCTTAAATTTTTGTCTCAAGAAAAATAAACTCTTTTCTCACCATATATAATACGATATTTTTGCTTAGAAAATGGAGTTTAAAATTAAGTGTACCACAGATACAGTCCTCCTCCCATCCTCTTCCTCTCCCCACCCCTGCACAGCAGTAACGGTGACACAGCAGCGCAAGCAGAGGCAGAAGGGATGGCTTCCTTGGCAGAAAATACCCACCACCTGAAGGCACACGCATGCAATAACCAAGGATCACAAGGAAACCAATAAGCTCATGTTCTTGAAACTAAGGAAAAAGTTAATCTACTCTCAACCACCTTTTTTTCTCTCAAGTACACTCTTGGCATAAATTCCATACGCAGCCTTTGATCAGTGCCGACACAAATACAGTTGTGTTCCAAAAAAGGAATGAAATGAAGTACCCACGAGCCTTGCAAACGATGTACAACTGCCAGCTTCTGTGGTACCCCTGTTATTTGCAGAATTTTCAAGTGACTGAAGGCACTGGGAAAAATAATCAACAAGTTCATTTATTTCCTTACAACTAACCCGTAACACTTGCGAGTTCCACCTACCTGTCAAGTTCCTCAAGCCAAGTTCCCTGAGTCCGAAGTTCCCATCCTTTCTGTAGTTCAGAAATATCGCCAAAGCATATCGCTCTTCATAGAGTTTGGTCCCACGAACGATGCGCAGGTTCTCCAGCGGCAGGTATTCAAACTGATTCAAAGCCACCAAAACATAGCCTGTAACTTCTCGGATAGACTGAAAGACAAAAATTAAACAAACACATTAGAAACGGTCCATTTGTACTTGTTCTGAATTTTTCATACAGTGGATGCTTTAGTATGAGATGTTGGTAGACAAGATGAAAAACCACCAACAATGTAACTTTGGAAAACAAGTTCTGTTTCAACTTATTGATTTTAGCCACATTCCTGTTTCAATTTAACTGAGTTTAATAGAGATGCCAGTTGGAAAAAGTAGAAAATAAGTAAGTAGACATTCTTTCTGCTTTTATTAAATTTGAGCAGAAATTCAAAGTAAGTATTAAAGATGCATGAAAGGGCGATTTTGCACAATTCAAAGCGGAGAGCGGGTCAAAGGCCTCTGCAGGACATGAGTAGAATCCACTGGGGCAATGCCATAGCTCAGGTAAGACTGTTTGTCTGCAAGTAACTCTGTTGTACAGGATATTTGAGGGTGAGACTGAAAGGACACAACTTGGGATAAGAGAGACACCTGTGCAAGTGCTCACCTTTGTAAGGGTAAACAAAGACAAAGCAAATATGTATTAACACCCACTCCTGTACTTCTGAATGAAATCAGCCACTGAATATTTACAAAGTTTCAACTTCAAGTTTCATTTGGAAGCGCTGGAACCATACGTGCTGTATATCACAGACTTTGATCCAAACTGGTATCAAAACCTTTAGCAAAACGATTGCTGTGTTTTTGGGTTGGCTGAAATATTTGTTTTCTCTAGATGAACTACTCAGTAACCTTCATACTCAGGAATTGATTGCCTGAGTTGTAAAGGGAAAAAAAAAGCCCACAAACTGTAACTACTAGAAGCAGTTTTTCAAAGGCCAAAAGACTAACGGAACTAAGATGTTTTTAGAAAGAAAAATATTTAAAAGCACACTTTTTTTTTTTTTTTAGAAAATTAAGTTCATTCTAAGGAATTTACTTTAATGGCCTAGAAATCTGCACTTGAAAAGTGTCATTTCAACAGTCACATAGAGCCCCACCATCCTCAGCAGGACTTCACCCAGGCTGAGGGATGTTCCTGCCCAGAGCTGCTCCCGGAAACAGAACTTCCACTTTGGAAAAAGTCTCTCAAATATGGTTTTCAAATCCCCCCTAATCCCATGCCTGCAATAACCTGCAACAACAGTGAATCTGTGCATTTATGTGTGCATGTAATGTACATTTAATGGACAGAAATTGATATAACTACTTGTGTGCTTAAGTGGATGCATCCACTTTTTTTCTTCCCTTTGGCAAAGTCAATACCTTAAACAATACACAGAAAGAAAAATTCTGCTTAATGTGCTCAGCCTGTAACTAACACAATGGGGACTCCAGTCAATAGCATAATAAAAGTAAAGAGGCAAACAATAGCAGGCATCGAATTCCACGTGGTGCGTATGTATCATTAATAAAGAAAGGCAACACAGACTTGCAGCACAAAGGACAGGCTTTTGCTTTGCTGGTTCACCACTGTTGCCACGATTTCATACGTACGTACAAAAGTTCACAAGACTATTAACAAGTATGGCAGCATACGTAAGGAAGGATTTACATGCCACAAGCTCCAGGCACTAGCTATCCTTCTAAAGTCATCGTACTCAGCTGAAGCTGCTGAAAAAACTCTGGGGCTATTTCAAGACTTGCTTGGCATCTAAACAGAGCACAGGGTCATTACAGGACTTTGACGAGAACCCAGTGAGTTGAGCTAGGGTTGAGAAGTACAGCTCAGGAAAACACAGAGCTGCATTAGATTCTGGTTCCATTAAAATCAGAAGCTTTCCAGCAGTTGCATGATAGCTCTTTGCTTTCAGACATTTCAGCTCTGCTAGCTTAGCCATGAATTTGTTTTTCATCACAGGCAAACAGGTCCTGAAATTGGCATTTTTAATCTCTTGTCAAAGTTTAGGGCCAGGCACTAAACTCTGACAGATGCTCTCTGTGACCCCCCCGCACCCTCCCAGGGCAGGATAACAGGGGAACCAGGGAGAGACTCTGAGATTGGAAAAAACCTTGAACCAGTTTAACAAAAAAGAAAATAATAGTAACAACCACAATGAAGACACTGAACTATATATAGCTATTACACAAGTATGCAAATATATTCAAAGATACGAAATGTGTTAACACAGAACCCACATCTTCTGGAGGGCAAGTAGGTTCCAAGCAGAAGCAGTCCCAGACTGGACTAGGCCGCAGATGGGAGTGCCTGAGCCCAGAGGCCGAACGACAGTCAAAAAAACCCCAAACCAAACACAGAAGAGGAAGCCTTGGAGCGACTGGAGGAAAACACCCTGTCCTGTCCTGTCCTGCCAAACGTTGCTCCTGTGCAGTGTGCAAACAGGAGGCAGGAGCTGCAGGGCAAGCCCAGGCCCAGCCCAGCCGCACCACAGGCCCTTTTACACCGAGCACCATGGGCAGCAGCGCTGTGATTGGTCCCCTGGGGTCACCTGACCCAGCCTCTCCTCCCCATAGGCCCAGCTGCCCCTCCCGCACTGATTGCCCCAGTGCCAGGAGCCCCACAGAGCTGCTGCCCGGGGCTCCAGCCAGGCCACCGCTCGGACCGAGCCCTCCTGCCCCTTTCTGTCCCTTGTAGCCACGCTTCCTCTTTTTAGGGAATGTCTTATTTGCTGCCCCACGGCACATCCACCTGAAAGGCCCCTGATTGACCACAGCACCGTAACTACACAAACACACATCCTCCAGCAAATCTGCGTTCCAAAATTAAACAAACAAAAAAAAGGACAGAGTTTTGTTGTTGGTAATTGTGAACTGCCACTCCTAACTCAGAAGCCCTGTTACTTTGTTTAGTTTATCTGACTGAAATTATGGCAAAGAATGGCAAATATTTCGCCCAAATATTTCTTTTCCAGTCCCATGGCTTCCATCAGTACTGCAAAACCTATTTATTCACTAGAGAAACTGCCATGTTAATTCATGCAAAACAAATTTATGAAAATAAACCTAAGGGTTTCTAATTTACTAGAACAAGGGTTTCTAATTTACTAGAACATAGCAACCTGACTAACTAGATCTCGTGGCTCATTATATTAACTTGGGGTTTAATTTTAATTTTCAATTCAAAATTTGAATGAAAAAGGCAGAGCAGTTAACATGTTTTGTAGGATGGTGAGTTTTCCAGCTTGAAAAAAATCCTAATGGGATTACAGCAGGCAGCTCAGGTTTCAGCCCGTCCTGGCCAACACTGTCACTTTGCCAGTCACTGCTAGTTTTGACGTGTTTCTTAGTGAAGAAGGACACCTGCTCGCTTGGGGCTCACTCCAAGCCCTGTTGCAGTTACTGCAAAGATGTTTGTTGTTTTCTGTGCAGACTCACAAATCCTCAAGCCAGACAGATCTCCTCTTTTGCAACTCATGTCATGATTTGAACCTCTCATCCACTGTATACAAGGCTGAACATTTTCCTGTTCGCGTATCCTGAACTCAGGTATAAGCCCAAGTATCCTACTGCTCCATTTGAGCTGCTTTTGCTTCAGCGTTAATCTGTGTCCCAGCAAGAAGGTGGAGTGAGTCACAGCAGGTTGGTACTTCGAGTGTCACCTCCTAGTTTGATTCTCCTGCTAGGGCTGGAGGTCCTTGCAAAAACACGTTTCTCATGAGTCTGTCCCTCAGGAAAGAAAAAAAGAGACAAAGACAAAAATAACTGCGTTTTGTCCCTGTAACCTACAGCTGGGATGGAAAGAGGCAGATGAATTGCCAACAGACTTAAAGCTAAAAGTTTCTGACAGGGAAAACCAAACGAACTGTGGCAACCACCTATCTTGATTGCTGACCACAGTGATTTTGCAGGATTCCCCTCTAACCCCATCACAGAATTATTTTGACTGGGAATTCCTGCCCAGCATGATGTTGCCTTTTCTCATCCCCTTTCCAGCTCCTGAGACATGACATGACGTGAAGAAGCCATCGAGAGAGGCAGCGACAGGCTCAGTCTCCCACAGCCCTCCCGCTGCTTTGGTAAGTGCATTGAGGCTCTCCTGGGTCGTTCGGGTACAGCGGTGAGAATGACTGAAGGAAAGGCTGAGAGTCAAAGGCTCCCTGTCACAAAGGGACAAGGGATGCTGTTCAGGGAGCCCTTAGAGCAGACACCTGGCTGTTCGAAAGCAGATGAGGAAACACCTCTGAGGATTCAAGAGCCAAAGGTATCTGCTTCTCTGACCAGACCTGTCGGTGTCGAATCCTGAAATAAGAATGGGCATGCTTCTAGCACGAGAGAGAGATGTAAGAAGGGGAAAAATAAAAAAAAGTATTAACCCCTGACAAATCTAAAGCCACATGAGCTGCTTTAAAACCATGCCAAGCCACAGGATTCAAGTCTGATATATTTACCAGAGAGAAGTTTGTCATCTACATTTTTAGACAGAAGATCTCACCTCGTCTGCTCTCATTCCACAGCTTGCTGTCCGTACGGCCCAGCACTGCCCTGCACCCTGAAACCAGGCACGGTGGCTATAAACCCATCTCCTAACAGCCTCTACTATGCCCCACATAGCCCATTTTTTGTTTTAAAAGCTAAAACCCCATTAGCCTTCGCTAGTAATGGACCCAGTCAAGGCTGTACATCCCAAAACTCCTCTGCTAGGCCTCAGGGGGCTGTCATAAAACGGCCACCACCACAACATGTCGTATCATAGAATGGCCTAGGCTGGAAGGGACCTTAGAGATCATCTAGTTCAACCTCCCTGTCATGGGCAGGGACGCCACCTCTCGACTAGACCAGGCAACACATGGGGACCAAAAAAAATGCACCCCACGACCTCGGTGTTGGTCATTGTCGTCAGCACTGCGCTCAAACCACTGAGCTAACCGGCCCCCTGCGGCCACTGCTCCCCTCAGCCCAGCTGGGGCAGCAGCTTCGCAACGTGCTGGTGGGTATGCGCAGGGCAGACAGAGAAATAGGGTCCCCAAATGACACCAAACCCAAAAGGGTTCTTTTTTTCGGATGATGAGCTGTGAAAGCGAGCTCTAGACAAGCCATTCCCTTAATTACAAGTA